TTTACTTTAGAATTTTTACCATATAATGTGTTATATGTGCAAAAAAATAACAGAGAGACAAAAAGAGATTTAATAATAAATTTTTGGGGGTTTAAAAAGGGTTTTTTTAGTTAAAAGGCTTAAAAAAAAGCATTTTATTAAAGTAAAAAAACTCAAATAAGGTTTTAACCATTGTAATATGTTGGATCCTCATCAATTTAACGTTAGTTAGCTATTAATTTAGGACAAAGCCTTTAACCCGTTGCCTTACATATTGAAATTTTTAATCTTTAAATTTAAAAGTTTAAAAATTTTAACTTATAAACTAATAGAAGTTATTAAACATTTCGTTAAGTGAAATTAAAAAATTATATGTTCAATCCCCAAAGTTTAGAAAAATGATAGTCTAATCCTAAAATATTTGAAAATAAATTAGTAAACCAAAAGCTTTTAGGATTAGACTGTCATTTTTCTAAACTTCGGGGACTGAACTATCATTTTCTAAACTTTGGAGACTGATTTTATAATTTTTTAATTGCACTTAATGGAGAGTTAACTACTTCTGATTTAAGAGCTAAAATCTTTAAAATTTTAAATTTAAGGGTTAAAAAGTTTAATGTATAAAACAAAGAGTTAAAAGTGATAAGCTTAATAAAGTAAGAGGTTTAACATAGACTTTTACCTTAATTTAGGGCAGCTTATAATTAATCAAGTTGCCACTAACGTTTTCTTGGGATACCATATATCTAATTTTGATGCATGTGCTTCCTATACGGTATCGTGCTGGCGAAGGTGATTCCGGCGCTGACTGGTCAGAAACTGATGAGCGAGTTTCATAATTACTATATTTTACTACTACCATACGTATTAGCTCCGTCATGGCTACATAATTGGAGGGCTATGTACTAAGACATGTATGACCGTTGAAATATTTTTCCTTTGTTTGTAAAGAACGAGGATTTCACATTAAAGAAATATGAATGAAAATGGTAGTTTAAATATATAATATTTATGTAATTATTGGATTAATTTTTTAATTATAATATAATGTCAAAACATATAATGTATTATCAAATGTACAATTGTAATATTTTAACTGTATGTTATGTAAATTTATAATGAGTATATCCATATCATGTATGTCAAAAAAAAAGAATCATGTTAAAATATGTTTTCCTTTTATGTTAAAAAATAAGGTGGTGTTATTAGAATAATCTTTTTATACAATTCTTTATATTATTTTTTAATATAATTTTTACATGTCATTAAATAAATTAATATATTTAATATCAAAGATTTCATATAAATTAAAAAAATTAATTATTTAAATGACACGTTAAATTATATTAAAAAGTGATAAAAAAATTATTTCCCTAAAATATATATATAAATGATTTAAATATATTAAAACTTATGAAACTATCAAAACATCTGATGGGTCACTCCCCTCATGTCGTATATCTCTCTACGAAGAATGGAGTGGAAGAATTTAGTTCTTTCTTGGGCGATGCTGCTCCTGGTCACCGTGACTCCTGCATTGACTTCTCGTAACGAGGTTATTGGGCGCTTCTCTAGTGTTTCCAACATCAGGAACGCCTTATCCAACATTCTTCCGTCCGTTAATGTGTTTGACTACTGTTCTGGCATCGGTCAAGAATGCTCTACTTCCGGTGAATGTTGTTCTATTTTAATTTGTTCTGATGCAATTGTGTTGCATCAGCAACGACGATTCAGGATGTACAAGTAACAGTGATTGTTGTACTGATGGATATTGCATCTAGCTAGTAGGTCGTAGTTGTTCACTAGTGTGATTTGCACTCTTTAAGAGAAATGAAAATGATGTGGATAATGGTTTTTTCAACATTGATAGAATTACAATGTTAGTAATTCATAATACAACATGCATAGTAATTCACGTTTTGTAGTTAACTCCTTTTATTCAAAAAATTAAAGGAAAAAACATATATTTTATATATCGAATCATGCACACTCCAATCCAACCGCGCCGGAAGTGCCAGTGGTGACTTGTTGGCTTAGATCTCTGCTATTTTGAAAGCTTTCCCGGTATGATTTTTTTGGTATTAATCAATGTCCAGTAATTACATTGGATTTCAATTAATCTAAAATCGAGTTACGTCAAACCTTATTAAGAGAAGCACTTCCCACGTTTATTTCTCTATTTTTCCATTCTACTCAAACCAACAAGTCATTAGTTTTTCTTAATATATTATATACTCTGTTTCAATTTAATTCTCACCTTTTATTGATACGAGACATAAATATCATTATTAAATGATAAAAATGATAAATATATCAATTAAACACTTAATTATAGAATTTTAATTGTATAGTAAAAAAAAAAAGAACCAACGAAAATAAAACGTAGAGTATTTTGGTTCTAATAGCACGGTTAAAGGGGTTTATTTGCTGGTGCTACGGCAATCATTTAAAAGGCAAACAATTGGGTAGGACAGTATACCTAAAGATGGCATTCCACGTGCGTAGTGCAATTGTTATTTGCTGCCCTTTGGGGTAGGCCGTGGTTTGCATCCTATGTCTCGGATTCAATACTCTCCTTACACACTAACACCTCTAACATACTAATACCTTTAACCATTGCTTTCCCCAGAAAAAAAAAAAAAGAAAAGAAAAGAGGAAAGAGTATACCAAATGATGGGGTCAAGAAAGAAAGTTACTTTCTTCATTTTAGATAAGAAAATAGTGTATGACAGCATATAATTTGAATTGGATATCGAGTAGTAAACTGCACATTTTTCATCTTTGAGAGGTAGCCTTGAATCTTCTTCACCTCCGCCAAGATCTTAATGGAAAATGGCGTGATCAAACGGACAACAGTTGACTTGATGAAACATTAAAAAGAACAACAAAATAAGCAAATATAAACAAGAATTATAAATAAATTCCTGTATATAAATTAACAAGCTAATGGCTGTAAGTTGCTTCTATATCTCAGAAATGCAAACTAAGCGACACAAAAAGACTAACAATTTATGGAGCAAAATGCCAACTGATCCAACACTGTTAACATTAAACAACAATCAGGAAGTACAAGTTAGTTACCAAATTCTACAATTCTTAAGTCATGGTATGAATGAAGCATACAGGGTTACCAAATTATCTCCAAGGATCTGTAAAACAATTCCTCAGAGAATGTTGGGATCAAGGAACTATAGGGTCTTTCGTGGGCTGCCTGGATTTGTTGTGAGAAAATTGATCCAAGCAGTCTCCAAGATGTTTATTGTTTTAAGAGCAGAGCCGATCACAACTGAATGCTATCAATGAGCTAACTGGCTAATAATCCCGTCGCATTTCCTGCAAAGATTGTTTCAATTCCAGGGGAACCCTAAGATGCACAATTTTCTATATTGAGAAACAAAAGCAAGTATCCAACAATGCTCACCAACCTATTCTCCCTTCCCCAAAACCAGAAAAAAATCACAGTTCAAAAAGATAACATCTTTTACACAAGGAAGAGTAGTTTAGGAATCAGCCTTTACTACAGAACCAAGAAATAGTAGTTTTCTCCAAGAATTGTCTCATATGAAAGATTTAATAATCACCAAGTAAAATAGGTAGGAAATGAACAAATAAGCAAACTAAATACAATGTTAAGGTACTTACAGGTCGGTAGTTTTGCACATACATGAGTTGCCTAGGTTGGGCCAGAACCATCTGCTGCTCACACCGGAAAGAGCACTGATATTTAATACAAATCAAGATAGCCAAATAAGGATAACAAAGTCAGTACACAGGTTGTACCTGAGGTACATTTGGATTATAATATGGTTGTGGTGCTTGCATTGGTGCCATAGCTGGATTAAATATAACAGGCGGGTGTGCACCAAATGATGTTCCAATCTGCACATACCAACCATCACCAATGGCCATAAACAAGTAAAATGAAGAACAGGACTCCAATAAATGCAACTAATTCCATTGCAACAAAATAAAATCCTGTATCTCAGAATGTACACAAATGTCTTAACTGTATTATTGTGAAAAACACGTGTGCACGCACACACAGACAACACAAACATATTGCAGGGTCAAAGCTGGATCATCTGAAGAATAATCTTTTTTTTTTTTTAAATGGAATCTGATGAGTTAACTATGCATTACCATATATTACCACTGATCTGTTTATGTCTATATAGAAGGACACTCGAACCTTCAAACCCATTAGAAATAAACAGAAATGACAGGCTATTCTATTGGCTCATAAAAATAGTTCAGTCCCAAAGGAGTCCTGAGATAAACATGGATTGAACAGTGTTCCTCCTTTTGACTCAAAGTCTTATCAACCTCATGGAGAAAATGTGGGGAAGAAAGGGTCTAATCAACCCCATGAGGAGCAAAAGGGCATCCTATATTTCATGGTGTGCATTTTTTCACTTCACAGTAGGGAAATCCAGTGGGAGGAACAGGACCCATTATAGAAGCAATTGCAAACTTGCAAAAGGCTAAGGCATGAATACACTATGAAAGTTCCCAAGCATTAAAGGAGAGATCCAGCATTCACTGTTAGTTAGAAATTGTTAAGTACATTACAACTGAAACGTTATTTGTATCTAAATACTATCAATCGTAGAAGCAAGGTGTGTTTAATAATACGAGTAGAAAGAAATGGAATATAAATCACAAGAAAACATCAATACTGAGAACCACTGGCACACAAGAAAGCAGCAGTAGTTTCTGTGTATCTCAAAAAATATAACCTATTGAATACTTTAGCAAAGACGGTTTTCTAAAATTATCAGGATGAGATTTTTCAATTTAATTAAAGCAATCTACAGGATGAGTTTAACTCACTGATTGTTTTCATATATCAAATTCAAATGCATACATAAAGGAAAGAAGAAAGTATCATCAGTTCATGACAGTCTAGTTATATAAAAATACTTACTCCATAACCAACAGGCATCCCTTGCATGGGTGTTACAGAAGACAAATTAGGCGAATAATAGAAGGAACCATCAGATACCACCAATGGTGATGGAGACCTAACAGTCGGATGAGATGGGGTGAAACTCTTAGCATTAGGATTGAGTTTGAATTCCTGATAACAATTCAAAATATACAAACCATGTTAGGAGGCCATCAAGTAAAGCAATAAAGCAAGCTAAAATATTAACAATGAAGTGTACATGTTTGTCCTGAAATCAGCTGATGGAAGATGAACATACAAAAACAAGTATCATAATACCTTTGCATAGGGATTTAGTGTTGACTTCTCTGAGGATAATGAACCCACTGATGAACTTGGTGATAAGCCAGGACCACTAGAAGCTGAGGTAGCACCAACACGATCTGAGTTGGATGATGTAGAACTACCTGGTCGTCCATGAAAATTTACTGGCAGTTCACCAGGCACTTTGCTGGAAGCAGGGCCCTGTGAGACTTCACTCAAGCTCTGTTTTTCACCACCCTTTGATGAAACATGCAACACAGAAGTAGTGGCATTTGCGGATAGCCCTCCTTTATTGCAGCTGTCAGTCTTGTCAATTAATAATGATTCAGAATCTGCATTACAAATTGCTCCATAGTCACCATCCATAAGCACATGCATTGCTAATGCATTTTTCTTAATGAATAATTGCAAGAAAATAAGCTCTGTTGCACTATTTTACTTCCAATTTCAAAGAATAATGTGCACTCACCCATAGAGATTGACAAGTTGGAATCCTCAGTTGACTGCATTGATATATCAGGAATTCAAAAAAAAAAAACACATGGATGTTAGAACTTACAAAGACCAAAAACAAAAACTAAATGAATTTCAGCTTCTAGAAGAAGTAAAATAGTGCAAGGAGTTCAACTCACAGATTGCTTTTCTACAGAATCTTTAGGATCACTACTTCCTCCACAATCATCAAGCAAATTGTCCTGGATCCTACAATTTCAAGTGTTTCAAATTAGGAAAGAGGAATAACTAAATAATACATTATATTCAAGGAAACCATTCTGATAACAATTATATGCAGTATCATTTCAATTTGATGCAGAAAAATATTAAGCATGGTCAGTAAATACATATGATTTAGGTACATTCACAGGAAAAAAATAAAAGCAGTAAAAACAGAAACCTGCTTTCACTTTCAGAGTTACTTCTAAAAGGAAGTTCAGATGCCAGCTGTCTGCCAAGATCATTAGAGCCAGAATGGTTTATATCCACATCACCTGTAGATTGTAAAGATGGCGCCTCATCCTGCAAAGCCACAAAAAATGAGTATGTTATTGAGGATAAAAATTACATGCACAAACACATTGCCTCCAAATATTTTTTGTTACTAATTGACTGACCATAAGACAACTATAAAGCCTCTCAAGAAAATTCTTCTATTGTCACAAGCCTTCAAATTGAAATAGCTATCATAGTGTAGCATATGATAATTCTTAAGGATGAACTGTTGCAGAACTACAACTAAGAAGAAATAAACCCTCCAAATTGCAATTCCTGTTACCACTAGAAAGACCAACCTTTCTCATAATTATAATCACAATCAAGAAAATCAAGACTACTGATGAAATTGAACCTTCCCCCACCCCCTCTCTATTTCCCTTCTTTCCTCTTAGGTCCTGCTACAACAAACCCTTTCTCTCAACATTCTTTCCACTAAGGAAGTGGTATCCAATCCCATCCTTCATACAGCTCCATTATATCTATTTATGGTACAGCTTCCTCAACATGATTCATCCAAAGTAGCATAAAACCCACTAGACAAAGGAGATTTCTTCAGCAAACTCCCCCATAAAGAAGCCACCAAATTCTACCTTTCCCAGTAAGGCCAAATGCATCAACTATAACATCTGCAGCCCCCAAATTCAATTTTATTATGTAAATTAAATAAGATTCTCCACAACCCCCCCCCCCCCCCCCCAAAAAAAAATTATATATATACCATTTAAGACTTAAAATAACATAGAAGCCAATGATGAATAAGACAGTAATGGTAGGAATCCTAATGGGCATATCTTTACACAAAAATAAGTGGACATCATGCATAGACAGTTGCCTGATTGACAAAGGATTCACAACCTTATCAATGACTAATAACAATACGTACATGCATTTCATATGCTAAAGAAACATTATATCTCAAATTTTAGAGGTTGATAACTACCATTATGGAAGGGCTTGATGGCACAACAACTCTTTCAGTGCCCTTTAAACCGGGGAAATCTGTAGGCCTATTACTAACAGAAGCAGATGAACCACCAAAAGTTTCAATATTGCGTGAATCCAATAATATCTCCTCATCTGCATCATATCCACTATCATCAACCCTTCTGCCCCTGTACACTGAAGAGAATCTGGTTTCTTCATCAATATCAAGATTATCATGAAGATGAAGGCCTCTTTCCTGGTGACAAATCAATAAGCAAATATGAGGAACTAGGTCGACAACATCAACCAAGAAAGGTTCGAAGAGACTGAAGATGATATTAGCAAAAATTTACCTCTGCTAAATGAAGATCCTTGGTATCTTCACCCTCAATCTCTTTGGCTATTCTCATTGCTTCCCTTTCCTTCTCTCTCATCTGAGGACCTTTTTCAAGCTTTGTTGTATACAGTTCCTCATTGAAGGTACTTTCTATCCCAAAAAGGAGTTTGTTTGTCTCAAATTGATCCCAGTTCCTAAACAGTAAAATGACATAAATCAAACAAACATCTAGGGAGAATGTAAGATGAAGAAAAAAGAAAATAAAATAAAATTTACAAAGAAATTAACTTATGATGCAACTTCTCAGGATTGCTAACAGACTCTCCTATCAACATATAATTCTAAGATAAGAAGCCTTGCTACTTAACAGCAGGACCTAATTCACCCACACAACCCCCCCCAAAGAGAAAAAATCCCTAATTACTGTAAAACTCAGCCCAAAAGGTTTTGATTTCATCAGAAAAGAAATGATGACACATTACATGCATGGACATGAAAGAGTAGGCATTTCATAAGAGGGCCTAAGCACCACCACCCAAGAATGACACTCAGAACAAAAGTTATTTAGCATTATGATACATGACAAGCTTCAAATTGCATCTAGTTGACCTAACACTACACAAATGTTGAATTAAATAATTATACTCTAAGAATTCCTTCAAATAAATACTGTAAGCAAACCATAAATTCAAAACCTCAAATTTGATTAAGCAAACCAACATTGACAGGGATATCAAACTGTCAGTAAAAAGGCTACGGACAGAACAATATCAACAGTAATATTTCACATCACACTGCTCCACATGGAAAATCCTTTCTAATTTCTTTTTCCTGGAAATCTATAAATAAGAAAGTCAAAGGAAAGAAGTTTAAAATAAAAATTAAATGCTGCTCTACACTAAACAATTTAGATACAAACCTACTCAAGTAAAGAATTGGAAAACTTAAATCACAAGAAGAGATTTGCAAGTAAAAAAAATGTTAAATAACAACCTATTCCGAGGGCAGTCAAAAATATTTTCTAGTTCTGGATTCTGTGGATCATCTTCATCAGGGACCCAGCGTTCCAACTCTCTTCCCACCTCAACATGACGAGATTGTGATATAACAGAGTCTGTCATTATTTCTTGCTGCTTTTCACGCCTGAGTTCACTAGCAAAGCCTTCCCTGGTAACAGCGACATCCTGGAATCATTGATTAACCAACAAATTATTAATTTGAATAAGTTTGACTAGATGCAATCATGGGAAAAGAACCCTTCTAGAAAGTAATTTATATTATTTTGCATTACTAGTAATTCAGATATAGAGAAAATTAAATTAGTTACAGTATTTATTATTTGGCAATTTTCAGTTTCTTATTTGAATTATAATTTAAGGGTCAGACATGCACACCACTCTGTCCCATTCCATTAGGTTTATGTTATGCTATATTTGAGTCTCATGACAAAGGATAATAAAGTATTAAGAATCCTCCTTCTCCCCTGTCTTCCTAAGGTCAACCCCCT